CCTGGGGGAAACACCTTACTGCCTTCACACTCCTGTCGCAGAGGGCAGTACGACTTTACCCCCAGACCGCCTCGTACCACGATTACTCGTAGTGCGGGGTCTCGCTGCTCTTGGTCTGGCTGTTCCCCTTTGGCCTTCCTGGCATGGTTGTACCTTGTGGAACGAAGTTCCAGCCAGTGTAGCCCGTGGGATCATTGCGGCACTCATGCCCGACTACCGCGTCAAGGTGGCAGCTTTAGGTCAGACAGCACTTGTCGTAAAGTGAAGGTCGTCATCGACGGCATAACTTTGGTATTCAACAAAGGTTTCACTGCTGTATCTGCAATTCGTGGTTGGATGTGGGCTGGGATACACCAAGGGAGGAGAACAATTAGGGCCCTCAAACAAAGCCTTCGGCTCAAAAGTCTGACCGCAAACCAGCGGTGCTTGGCGAGAAATCCAAGTTCATTAACAATTTCACGGAACTATTCGCCACACATGTTCCAACTCCCACTGACTGGAAGGTCCGTGGTTCAAACCCGACTTCTGAATCTCGACTTATGTCTAGGCCTAGGCAACCTGGAAGTTCCCAACCCTGCTTCATTGTTCAAACTCGACTTCTGAATCTCGACTTATGTCTAGGCCTAGGCAACCTGGAAGTATCCCAACCCTCGTGCTTCATTCTGGTGGCATGGAACCGAAATGGTGCTGCAGTTAAACGTTGGTCAGTCCTCTAACCTTTGACGTGATCAACTGCAAGTGTCTCGCAAACGTCTCCCAGTATAGCTCAATGGGGCCTTGGATACATAAACCGTCACAGCACGGTAAGGTCTAGTCTTTTTGTGACGGACAAAGCGAAGATGTGGTCTGTGCAATCCCAGACAGGACGGAATGCAGCTTGTTTCTGGTGATTCTGTTTCTGCTGATGGTGGATCAACCTTCTTGGAATGATACCGGAGAACACCTTGAAAGTTATGGTCGCAAGGCTGATGATCTGGTAGTTTTCTTGCAACCTTTTTGGATTACAGGAATCACCATCAAGGCACTCCATTCCGTCGGATTTTTCTTTTCAGACGTTTCGGAGTGGGCTGGTTCGTTTGTCCTCAACGGATTCACTACTTCGAAGGGTGAAGGGTTCAGACCGTCTGCTTCATGTGCTTGCCTCTGTAAAGCAATGAGGTTGCACGTTGGACTTCCGTGGACGATGGCGGACTGATTTCAAAGCCTCACTCGGGATTTGTTAGTAGCAAGGTAACGGGGCTCAGCTAAATTGTCCTATAAAGTGTTCAACTTCTTGTTCAAGACGACGTTTCTGTGAGTGGATTATTTTTTCATCCTTTACGAAAAACTCCTTCACTAACGCCCACCGTCCTCCGTATGGTCGTTTGTTACCGGTATAGTTTTCCTGGCTTCAGTTGGTGCTGCCGCTCGCGACGACACCTAGTGTCCACCAGGCTGTCCGAGCGACTTCGGGCAGCCGGTTTCAGAAGGCTCACACGCAGAGTTCGGTTTCGAACCACGAATATTCCGGTGAGTAAGTTCGCGCCTTCACCACAGCCATCAAGGACGATTCCCATGCTGTTGCATCTGGATCACCAGATATCCGAGGAGTAAAGTGCGAGAAATCTGGGTTCGTCCGAGGTAGTTTGGGGCGTAAGAACGCACTGGGGTTTTGTGTGATGTTTACATCGGGTGAAAGGGAACAAGTTTGAGGCAGATCTACCGGTTGCCAAATTTTACACAAAATACGAATGTAGCAATGTAGGAAAGACTCCTTGTAGTTAAGGATTTATCTTAATTCACTTTTCAAGCAGATGGTTAGATACGGAGCAACGGTTAGGTGTTTGACAGCTAGATCAGAAGGAACTGTATGGGGGACATATGAGGAGGAGTCAGTGGCCTGTAAAGGCCAGTGGTACTCTCCGGTCCAGGTTGTAGAGGTGGATTTAGTTGAAGTGCCCCTCGAACCACTGATTCATACGTTTTACTCAAGGTAGTGGGAGAAAGTAGGAACTTGTCCGAGGATCCTTCCCCTAGCCTCCGAATCAAGAGTCCAAACCATGAGAGAACAGCTGTCCGGGTTTTCTTGAGGAACCCTTCCAGGTGCCAATGACTCAACAGTTTGACCTACTTGGCTGCAGAGTGCTGGCATGGCACAAGGGTACAGGGCCTGCGGCAGTACTGTCTCACTCCTAATGCAGCTGAGTCCAGTAGGCACCTGGGCAGTTGGAGATATGTCGAAAATACTTATTGGTAAATCTTTTACCAGGATTTCTCATCTGTTAGTGTAGCTTCCGTAACGGTAGAGGTAAGCACGCTGTGCCAATTGTCCTTTCGCTTAGCGGTTAATTGATCCTCATAAACACCGAATCTGTCTTCATGCAGTCAAACAGTGCATCAGAGCAGGATTAGCATCACCCCAAAATTTAAAAAAATTTGTAAGTCGCATTTGGTTGCACGACCTCTTATTTTTCTCATCTTCCTTCCGCCATTCTAGCCGGAGCAGTTTGTGAATCTCGGTATTGAACCACCAAAAGGAGTCCTGCTCTTCGGTCCACCGGGTACTGGCAAGACACTATGTGCGAGAGCTGTGGCAAATCGAACCGATGCGTGCTTCATCCGAGTGATCGGTTCGGAACTGGTTCAAAAATATGTGGGTGAGGGCGCGCGCATGGTACGAGAGCTTTTCGAGCTTGCCCGGAGTAAGAAGGCGTGCATAATATTTTTTGATGAAATCGACGCGGTCGGAGGTGAGTAGTGAATTTTACCCATAACAAGCACTCACCTTTTAGGTGCACGTTTCGACGACGGAGCTGGCAGCGATAACGAGGTGCAACGAACGATGCTAGAGCTGATCAATCAGCTGGACGGTTTCGATCCACGCGGGAACATTAAGGTGCGTTACAATTGAACTATATCTAGTAACTGCTGCCACTCAGTTGTCACAAAAGTGTTACAGCTGTGACGTGAATTTGTAACAGAGGTTTCATTGGCCAGATCTAATTGCTCTCCGTTTTAGAAAATAGCATTTGCATTGCCTCGAGTAAATTACAGATTATAGGGACTGAAGAGGTGTTGTGGTTTCAGTAAGGGCTTTCCTCCTGCTCAGAAAGGAAGGACTTCCGGCAGTCGATTGGCACTGTAACCTGTCTACTTAAGAGTTACTCAAGCTCTTGATCAGTCGGTCGTAATCTCTTACCTACTAATCGAAAGTCAGCAGCCTTGAATCTCCACAGAGGTTCGTGGAATGTGCACCACTGATTGTTCTCATTTGAAACGAGCATCTAGTGCTTCTCAGCTTTCCAACCGTGTGGGACAGTGTTGTTTTTATTGCCATTCACTAGAACCATTTTGGTTATATCCTGTCATTTTCCCCGCTTTCAGGTCCTCATGGCCACTAACCGCCCAGACACCCTTGATCCTGCGCTCGTACGACCCGGTCGGCTGGATCGGAAAGTTGAGTTCAGTCTACCCGATCTGGAAGGTCGTACACACATTTTTAAGATACACGCGCGCTCCATGTCCGTTGAGAAAGACATCCGGTACGAACTTCTTGCTCGACTTTGTCCGAATAGCACAGGTGAGAGAAGCTTATGGGCATTCCGTTGGGCTGTTTAAGCTAGAAGTCGTAAATGGCTTTTTTCATCTTACTGTCACAACTTTGTTCGCCCTCTTCTTCCCTCACAAGGGTAATTGAAGAGTCCTTTCAGACACTTCCTTCGGGTAATCTTACTTTTAGATTAATCGTTACTGATACTGAGAGACAACACAAATGCCTTAGTTGGAGTTTTAACGCCACTGATTTGTCGTATTCTGATGTAGCCCAGTGTAACAGAGTGGAATTACTACGCATCAGCTTAATATCTCGTCCTACCTCGTTGGGAGGATTCCCTCCGCTGAGAGACTACATACCACAAACAGTGTTCTCTTTACGGAGCGTGTATCTTGCAGACACGGCGCCTATTGGCACCGCGCTTTCCAGCATTCCCATCAGTGTGCTTGAATGGCTTACTATTTCGTGCGTTATGCCATTTTCCATTGCATCCGAAAAGAACTACGATTCTGTTTCTGATCCTGAAGAACAAGAATCAACGCTTGTTGACTAAGTTAGTTTGCTTTGCGAAAGTGCGCTGTGTTAACTCATTTTTCAACACCTACTCCTTCATTCCAGGTGCCGAAATCCGCAGCGTCTGTACCGAGGCTGGTATGTACGCGATCCGCGCCAGACGAAAGATGGCAACTGAGAAGGACTTTTTGGAGGCAGTCAACAAAGTGATTAAATCATACGCTAAGTTCAGTGCCACACCGAGATACATGACTTACAACTGATGATCGTTGGTGTTATGTTCAACGTCGGTTAATATAACTTATTTCCCCGCCTAAATGACTCATTCTTGCGGTCGTTAATATCAAATTAAGCGGGGCAGTTTTGTTGAGCACAGGTGTCGATCGAATCAGTCTTAACCTCCCATCGGTCACCAGGTACACTGAAATAAACAAACTCAATAATTGGGCATCTTCATGCTGTTCACTCCAGCATGGGTCCTGTTGGGTCTCGTGGTGGACTTCATATCCTAGTCATCTCTACAAACGATTCAACCGCTTCTCGGATGCCTCACGGACACAGCCACCGTTATGCTCATCTCATTCTCGTAGGGGACTGGTCACCTATGCACCTATTGATTTCCTGGAGAACCTGGTCCGTAATTAACATCCCAACTCACGTCTCTGCAAGCTTTGGGACCGATAGATGTCCCAAAAACAAGCAGAAGAGATATATTTCAATTGGTATACGAGGTGACGTTTGAAACCATGTTCTATACTACTACTTGAAAAAACGAAAGTTCCCAGCACTGGCGGACCAGTTGTCGACTTGGCCTTAACTTCCACTATCTTCACACACTTATGTTTGAAGAGTTCATGGTTACCGATAATATGAAATCTAGTCTGCGCTTTCAATAACGATCGTTGAACTGCCGTGAACATAGTGGGTGAAAGTTTGCTGTCATGATTAACTGGTTTTCATTATTCATTGTCTATCACGTCGCCCCATGCAGTGTCTCAATGGGCATGTCTCACGTGCAATCGGGTTATTTGGTGCTAAGAAACCAATGGAAGATGGTGCTGTTTTCTAATGTGTATTGCCTATGCTGCTCAAAGCATCGGAGCTCCAAAATTAATTTTTACTGTGAAAAGAAAACGGATGTTGGTCGAGATCTCACTGTAAGCGAAGAAGGCACTTCCCTTGTCGGACAAAAATGTTGTTAGCACAATATTGCCTTCGTACAAGTCTACCGGTTTATTTTGCTGATGAGATGGACCGATCCGCCCACGAATTGCCAACTACGGTAGCAGCAAACGCAACACGAGGTGTATGCGCTTGCGCAGTCAGTTTGTCTCTGCACATAATGTTCACATAAAGACTAGTGGTAAGTTAAACAGCTTTCAAGATCGACAATCAAACATCGTGCGTTTCAGAAATCACATTTCACAAGGGTTTGATGCGTGATTCTTCGGAATTAGCAAACTACTTCTTGCTGAGTGGCTGGAAAATCAGTTCACATGTCACCCACCGATTACTCGCTATGTCTTGAAGAGCGAAATTGTGTAGAACCCATAGCAGTGTAGTATGCTGTGTACGCTGTGAGCCTAACAGGGTGGTGGAACGAAGTGAAAAAGCACGGGAGGTCCGATTAGCGTTTTAGTGCTTGCGGTAAAACTATCAGTACACCAAGAAACCAGATTTCTAAATGTTCCCGACCGCATGCTTTCAAACGAACGCCACCATACAGCCGATTGGTCAGAATGACGCAACGCCAACATGACCTCTCCGGACACCCGGTTGTATAGAAAGGCTATTTCCCTAGCACCGAACATTCTTGAACATCAGCTCAGCAGTGATGAGTCGGTTGAACAGATTAGTCAAGCCATACAGTTCCATCTATGTGGCGTAGATCTTTTTGCCAAGCCTTGAAAACCGGTGTAGTTGAAAATCTCCGCCTATGTGTATTATGTACTTGGTAGGCGCTGCATTTGTGAACATGACTCACTCACATGGCCAGTGGCGCTTCTGTATCAAGTACATCGCAGTACACAGCTGTCCGACTTCCCATTCCAGTTAATAATAAAACCCGCAATCAGTGAGAGAGGCATCAATGGCACCCAAACGTTTCTTAACCTCTTTCATACCCTTCTGCCACGTCAAGGGTAGGCCACCTCTCTGCTTTCATCACTCCCATTTGGGCACGGAAAGCAGCGCGCCCTTCGGCACACGGAATACATCTAGCTAGTGCCGGACTAATTCTTCAATGGAGAAACCAAACACTCGCTTTACAATTGCCTCATTTCAGCATGTCCGACACCAAGCCACACTAACTAGGTCCAGAGACAACATGAATACGTCTCAGCTTCACTGCTCGAACAGGCCAATTCTCACAGCCATACAACAAAACAGTCCCAAATGTAGTCTGATTCACACGTCATTTGAGATTCGGGGGTATACCGCTTTGACACCATAAGTGTCTCAAACTAGCAAGCGCAACCCGAGCCTTACAGATTCGTGCACTGACCTCATCTGTCACACTACAATCGGAGATAATACAACTTCCAAAATATGGAAAACACTCCACAACGTCGAGTACCTCCCTGACTGGATGTCCAGGAGCATGACCTTACAGTTTGTGGGTGCAAAGGACATACCAGACGGCAGGATGGCGTTGGTCGGTCAATTCAGAATCACCTACACCTTCCATTTGAAGACGAGAACGATATCTGGATACTCCAGGTCGACGAGGCTTTTGTCAGAGGTTATTGAATACCAGGGTTCTGAAGACCTTTCATCGTTCGTCTCACTACCCAATCGACCTCGAAATGAATTAAGAATGGAGATAGTGGGGCAGCCTTGAGGGACACCGCTTTATGTACCGAACCTTTTGGAGAGCTCTCCGTATATCACAGCTGGAATTCTGAGAATACAAATAACTTAATACGTCCGCCAACTGCCAGGGCATTACTTCATGGGCAAGCGTGTCAAGTAAAACAGACCGTCAACTGAGTCGAATGTGCCTGGGAAATCCAGGGATACTAAAACTGTGGGTCGTTTGTGTGCACGTTGTTCCAGCACCTGAAGGAGTGTGGAGATTTGGTAAAGCAACTCCTACCAGGCCGGAATCTCGCTTGCTGCTCTCGAGTCAGTGTTTCCTCGATCACCATAGGGCGGCGAGGTACCACTTCTCGATGTGCACTATCGGACTTTCGTGTCTGCTATCACTAGCCACTTTGGAGACAAGTTTGTGTATTGGGATCCTTCATGTGACCACTTGGTGTTTTATTTTATGTAGAAAACGAATTCTGCGTCCAGACTTTCGTTGAAAGGACACCCGGTGGTTATTGTTGGGAGGTGAGGTGACCTCTCAAAACATCAACTTCAAAACAAGTTTACGGAACCACAGTGATGTGGTTGTAACTGACGTTTCAAAAAAAATAATTGTTCAGCTATACTGCCCGAAGGGTGAGGTACTGCCCGGTTGCCCAAGCTTAGACAGGGGCAGTCGATTCGCTCCGGTTGGATTCGAACCACGGAGCTTTCGGCATGTTCTCGCCTTCACCACCGAGGTGCAATAAAGTGCGTGATATATTAGGAGCACTCTTTATTGAGGTCAAGTATTCTAGACCTACTCGCTCTAACCATTCAGTCCCAAGAACTCAAATTGAAAAGCAAAATCCTCACCAACGCGGTGCTGGTAAACATCCCGTCAGTCCTCAGGATTTGGATGGAATCTATCATCCTCAGGACATCCGCACTAAATGAAACAGAATTCCGACTCCTGGTGCAAACAGAACCCTCAACTGCGCGCGCCATCCATATTGCTCAAGCCTAAATGGCAAAAATATTTTATAATCTCGGTAGCTGAATGTGTAGATTGCTGTCTGTCCTTCAGGTCAGAGGCCGTTTTGGAAAACCCAACTATGGACTAACCAAACTAAAATGGAATTTGAGGACCAGAGTAAGTTCGCTTCCGAATGCAGGGGTTAAAAGGGTGGAGCCGGTTAGAAATGATGGCCGACCAGTTTTTGGATGGAATGTCATGCGTGTGTCTCAGTATATGGATCCTCGACGGAACTTCCATTTCGTTGGCTCGCAACTGTTACAAAAGGCCGGTTAGTGCAGGGAGATGAGTATACGTCTACGAATTGCCTGACCTCAATATCCGCAAACATTGATCATAAAGATCGGTAATATAAATACATATAGGCGACTCAGGCGCGATTATCGTGTGTTGCTGAACTGCCGCACAGCGGATGAGAATGAAACAAGCAAAAATGAACGATTGTATTTACAACCACCCGAATCTATCGCTTCTCAAACCTATTATGTATCTTCTGTTGCAATATTTTACTCGACCGAGCAATACATGCACAAAGCCAAATCATTCAGTCCTCCATTCTAGGAAAGGCTTTACGCAACCAACCACAGCACGCTCCTTCAAATTCCTAGCTTCATTTGGTGGACAGTCGTTCCAGTCCATCACTTCCCCGTGAAGCTCGTAAATTCGATTAAGGCGTGCTACCCATCAGTGAAAGCTCACATCCGGTTATACAGCAAACGGATCGCCAAGTTCGACGTCATGTCTGGCGTATGGCAGGGCTACCCATTGTCACAGGTACTCTTCAACTTCGCGATTGATCGGTCGCTTGGAGAGGTATCAGAGGGGTAATCCGGTGTCAAGTTAGCTGCTTAAACCCGGATAGCTGATCATGAGTATGCTGACTATATCGTTCGCTTTAGCAATGAATTTGAATAAGCCTAGTGTGTGTCGAATAGGCAAACTTAATACTCAACACGCAGGCACAAAAAGTTAAATGATCGGATCGGTTGCCAAATTCACCTACCTTGTTTCCACCGCTTCATCCAACGGGGCGAAACTACCAGTTGAAGCCTTCACTTTACACAATGTCCACAATGTCGTTATCGCCTCGAGAATAAGTGGAAACACAGTTCACTACGGTCGAGGGTGACACGGAAAAATTCGGTGCCCAAGATGTGTGCCCAATCCATCACTGGAGCCAACATCGAATTGCGTCTTGTGTAGAACTGGCAACTGATCTCACCTCTAACCCTGATGCCATGAACCCCAAAAACGTCATCGGGGCCAATTAGGCCTACCTCACGACAGTCGCTTTGGAGTAAGGTAATGGTAAACCCATTACGACGCTGACATATCACCTGAGGTAGATCAGGGAATACACCAAGCAAAATTAGATCTAAAAGTCTGATGTAGTTAGTTACTTCGAAGCAGTTTTTTTTACCGTGACTACCGTCTTTTATTGATTGTATTCGTAAAACACTTTTTACTGAGTTAAAATGTCAGGAAACTCGGT